TTTTTTTTTTTTTTTTTTTATGTTGTTTTGCTTTTTCATTTGCTTTCATAATAGAATAAAGTTGGAAATGTCCGTTAAATGGGGGCGATATTTTTTAGAAAGTCTTCCCAAACAAACAAGCATTTCCAACTTTATTAACTTTTTTAGACAATAATATTAGACTGATCAAATTTTGGGATCAAATGTGGAGCGCAAATGACATGACAGTTAACTTGAATTTTTTTGATTGATGTCATGTCATTTGAGCCCCAATAAAAACTTCAAATAATCATTTGAACTTTAAATTTGATCAATCTAGCATTACTCTTTTTAAAACTCCCTAAAAGGTTATAAGAATTTTTTATAAGCCAATTTTTTAACTACATTTTTTTTTTACTGTTTCACTACATTTTCAAAACTTCTGTTTCACATTCAAAAAAGTCAGCTCCAAACCAGCCTTTAACCTTTCATTCTCCCCCNTTTTTTTTTTTTTATGTCTCAACCTCATTATGGTTTGATGAACAATTTTCCCTGCAAAAAAGGACGTAAGTCCAAAGATTTACAAGCAATTCCTGCTCAAAAGAGGGAGAGGGTGTTTTTTTTTCCCTAAACAGTAGTATGCAGAACAATATGGTGTCTAGTTTGTAAATACCTCCTAATAAAACTTTGAAAATATATTTTTTTAAAAAATTAGGTCTATATCTATACTATTAATAAAGGGATAGGAGGGAATTTGTTGTTCATTACTAAAATGTCCATAATACCCTTTTTTTTTTTTTCAAATAACTATCCAAAACTCATTTTTTTTTACTCCACTTAATTACAACCTCTACTAATGAAAGGTCAAGCTTTTTCATCAGTTTTTTTATGTTGTTTTGCCCAAAGCTCTACTAATAATTTATTATGTTGTTTTTATAATTTTTTTTTTACTAATAAAAATTTTTTTGATTGGTGTCATGTCATTTGACCCCCAATAAAAACTTTCAAATAATCATTTGAACTTTAAATTTGATCAATCTAGCATTACTCTTTTTTAGATCTCCCTAAAAGGTTATAAGAATTTTTTATAAGCCAATTTTTTAACTACATTTTTTTTTAACTGTTTCACTACATTTTCAAAACTTCTGTTTCACATTCAAAAAAGTCAGCTCCGAACCAGCCTTTAACCTTTCATTCTCCCCCCGCCGGCAAAGTAATCACGCAAGTCCCCATTTAACCATACTCAACTGCCTATTTCTCTGTTTACACGGGCAACCATGTGTGCAAAGCATCTGGTAAGTGTTTAAAGAGCACCGAGTTAGACATTTACACTATTTACATTCTATATGATTAAAATTTTGTCTCACCTTTGAACCAGCCTGATACTCAGATGGCTGAATTACAAACTGCTGAGAGATTTCTTGGTTTCTCATGATATAGGCCTAATACATAATAAATAAAAAAGCAGAAACCAGAAGTTAGTCCCATGGAATAAAGTGAAAATTGTATACATATATATATGAGTTGTATCACTCACTGAGTTCAGATTGGCCATGGGTAAATGAGTTCGAGTTGCAGGATGATGAGATTCATTTCCTTCAGAACGGCTTCTTGTTACTTCTTCCTGGAGCAGCTGATTCACACATATCTTTTTTAGTGTCAAATGAACAACGAGACGGCAAGTTTTGAAACAAATTATTCAACTGACTTGTAGTGTTCATTATGTACTTACTTTCCATTTATGGTTTAAACAAACTCAGAAACAAAGTGTATACGATCCATTTATCGGCGTGAAGATACTATGTATAGATTTAGTCTTGTCTTAACCGGGTTGTCCATTCACATACTCTCACATACACTCTGGCTAACTGCTTCACTAGCTTATCTGGTGATTTTGCGCCGTGAATAATTAACACTGATACCATATAAGTTGAAAAATAGGAATTCAAATATAAGAAAAATAATAAAATAAAATACAAAAATATAACGTGGTTCGATACAATATACTCTTCCGATACATTGTACCAACTTCTATAGACCAAAAAACTTATANGCTCAAAAGAGGGAGAGGGTGTTTTTTTTTCCCTAAACAGTAGTATGCAGAACAATATGGTGTCTAGTTTGTAAATACCTCCTAATAAAACTTTGAAAATATATTTTTTTAAAAAATTAGGTCTATATCTATACTATTAATAAAGGGATAGGAGGGAATTTGTTGTTCATTACTAAAATGTCCATAATACCCTTTTTTTTTTTTTCAAATAACTATCCAAAACTCATTTTTTTTTACTCCACTTAATTACAACCTCTACTAATGAAAGGTCAAGCTTTTTCATCAGTTTTTTTATGTTGTTTTGCCCAAAGCTCTACTAATAATTTATTATGTTGTTTTTATAATTTTTTTTTTACTAATAAAAATTTTTTTGATTGGTGTCATGTCATTTGACCCCCAATAAAAACTTTCAAATAATCATTTGAACTTTAAATTTGATCAATCTAGCATTACTCTTTTTTAGATCTCCCTAAAAGGTTATAAGAATTTTTTATAAGCCAATTTTTTAACTACATTTTTTTTTAACTGTTTCACTACATTTTCAAAACTTCTGTTTCACATTCAAAAAAGTCAGCTCCGAACCAGCCTTTAACCTTTCATTCTCCCCCCGCCGGCAAAGTAATCACGCAAGTCCCCATTTAACCATACTCAACTGCCTATTTCTCTGTTTACACGGGCAACCATGTGTGCAAAGCATCTGGTAAGTGTTTAAAGAGCACCGAGTTAGACATTTACACTATTTACATTCTATATGATTAAAATTTTGTCTCACCTTTGAACCAGCCTGATACTCAGATGGCTGAATTACAAACTGCTGAGAGATTTCTTGGTTTCTCATGATATAGGCCTAATACATAATAAATAAAAAAGCAGAAACCAGAAGTTAGTCCCATGGAATAAAGTGAAAATTGTATACATATATATATGAGTTGTATCACTCACTGAGTTCAGATTGGCCATGGGTAAATGAGTTCGAGTTGCAGGATGATGAGATTCATTTCCTTCAGAACGGCTTCTTGTTACTTCTTCCTGGAGCAGCTGATTCACACATATCTTTTTTAGTGTCAAATGAACAACGAGACGGCAAGTTTTGAAACAAATTATTCAACTGACTTGTAGTGTTCATTATGTACTTACTTTCCATTTATGGTTTAAACAAACTCAGAAACAAAGTGTATACGATCCATTTATCGGCGTGAAGATACTATGTATAGATTTAGTCTTGTCTTAACCGGGTTGTCCATTCACATACTCTCACATACACTCTGGCTAACTGCTTCACTAGCTTATCTGGTGATTTTGCGCCGTGAATAATTAACACTGATACCATATAAGTTGAAAAATAGGAATTCAAATATAAGAAAAATAATAAAATAAAATACAAAAATATAACGTGGTTCGATACAATATACTCTTCCGATACATTGTACCAACTTCTATAGACCAAAAAACTTATATCAATATATTATTCACTGAAAAAACTGGTTATTTGGTAATTAATTATATAATATTCAACCTTATATCAAGTCACTAATAAACCTATCCATAGTTTGTTAAGATTTCTCAAAATATGTTTCCTATTCCATTTAGGATTTTCATATTGATTGCCGAATAAACTCTCATTCGTGACAATTTGAGAGTTTTGGTCAAATTCTTACATAATCTAGTTTTCTTTTTTTTTTTTCTATTGAAAAAAATGTGGGGGCAAAAAAGAGCGCTAAGTGACCTCTCCGATAGACCCTCAGTGATGGAATCACGAAGCTCTTGACTGTGCCCATTAGTCCTCTCGGGAATGAGTCTAATTAGACTAGTATAACGGTCAACCACCAAACCTTAATGTAAACTTCAAGACTTGAACCACCAATTTTAAGGTGAGAAGTTTAGCCGGTATTCCTAGATCAATTAAATGGTCTTAGATATTGTGTGGGTCAATATGATAATATGATGCAAGAGCTTGGAATAAAAACAAACACCTTGTGGTCCAAAGGAACAGCATCGGCCAAGAAATCCAGAAGTTTTTCATTCCTTATAGCTCTAGCAATGTCGCAACGCTGCAGTGTTCGGCGCTTATTTTCATCAGTGTGAAGCCATGAACGTAGTGTTAGCTCAAGGATGAAAAGCTCACAAGCCTTTGCAAACAATACTGGAGTGTCCGCACTGATCATCTGATCATACATTTCAAAACCAAGGTAAGAAATCAATGAAAACTTTATAACTCAGTTACATTTTGCATCTTAGATGCTTAAAGGTGCAGAGTTAAATGTTCTTTTTTTTTTTTGGCGTGTAAGCTGGTTCAGACATTTTTGTCCGTTGAACCAGGGGAAAAAAATGTTCTTTCCTTCTATAGAAATTGATAATTATAATCAATTATGAGGATTAGTATAAGGGAATAAAGAATTTGATTACTTACCTTCACTCCTTCATCTGCCTTCATTATCTTTTTTACCCTTGCAAGAGGTAGCCGATGATGGGTTCTAAACTCTACAAAATGACATAAAGAAAATAAATGCTACTTCTGATTAAAGTTTTAAAAAAAAAATCTATTAAATAATTTGGGATGCATTTTGTAATTGTCTCATTTAATCTTTAAACTATATAAATTTCAACAATCAGCCCTCCAGCCCATTTCTCCCTTTAAAACATATGGAAAAAAAATTGAGTTTAAGAGGTACATAGAGATTAAATTATTTACAGNCTGACTTGTAGTGTTCATTATGTACTTACTTTCCATTTATGGTTTAAACAAACTCAAAAACAAAGTGTATACGATCCATTTATCGGCGTGAAGATACTATGTATAGGTTTAGTCTTGTCTTAACCAGGGTTGTCCATTCACATACTCTCACATACACTCTGGCTAACTGCTTCACTAGCTTATCTGGTGATTTTGCGCCGTGGATAATTAACACTGATACTATATAAGTTGAAAAGTAGGAATTCAAATATAAGAAAAATAATAAAATAAAATACAAAAATATAACGTGGTTCGATACAACATACTCTTCCGATACATTGTACCAACTTCTATAGACCAAAAAACTTATATCAATATATTATTCACTGAAAAAACTGGTTATTTGGTAATTAATTATATAATATTCAACCTTATATCAAGTCACTAATAAACCTATCCATAGTTTGTTAAGATTTCTCAAAATATGTTTCCTATTCCATTTAGGATTTTCATATTGATTGCCGAATAAACTCTCATTCGTGACAATTTGAGAGTTTTGGTCAAATTCTTACATAATCTAGTTTTCTTTTTTTTTTTTCTATTGAAAAAAATGTGGGGGCAAAAAAGAGCGCTAAGTGACCTCTCCGATAGACCCTCAGTGATGGAATCACGAAGCTCTTGATTGTGCCCATTAGTCCTCTCGGGAATGAGTCTAATTAGACTAGTATAACGGTCAACCACCAAACCTTAATGTAAACTTCAAGACTTGAACCACCAATTTTAAGGTGAGAAGTTTAGCCGGTATTCCTAGATCAATTAAATGGTCTTAGATATTGTGTGGGTCAATATGATAATATGATGCAAGAGCTTGGAATAAAAACAAACACCTTGTGGTCCAAAGGAACAGCATCGGCCAAGAAATCCAGAAGTTTTTCATTCCTTATAGCTCTAGCAATGTCGCAACGCTGCAGTGTTCGGCGCTTATTTTCATCAGTGTGAAGCCATGAACGTAGTGTTAGCTCAAGGATGAAAAGCTCACAAGCCTTTGCAAACAATACTGGAGTGTCCGCACTGATCATCTGATCATACATTTCAAAACCAAGGTAAGAAATCAATGAAAACTTTATAACTCAGTTACATTTTGCATCTTAGATGCTTAAAGGTGCAGAGTTAAATGTTCTTTTTTTTTTTTGGCGTGTAAGCTGGTTCAGACATTTTTGTCCGTTGAACCAGGGGAAAAAAATGTTCTTTCCTTCTATAGAAATTGATAATTATAATCAATTATGAGGATTAGTATAAGGGAATAAAGAATTTGATTACTTACCTTCACTCCTTCATCTGCCTTCATTATCTTTTTTACCCTTGCAAGAGGTAGCCGATGATGGGTTCTAAACTCTACAAAATGACATAAAGAAAATAAATGCTACTTCTGATTAAAGTTTTAAAAAAAAAATCTATTAAATAATTTGGGATGCATTTTGTAATTGTCTCATTTAATCTTTAAACTATATAAATTTCAACAATCAGCCCTCCAGCCCATTTCTCCCTTTAAAACATATGGAAAAAAAATTGAGTTTAAGAGGTACATAGAGATTAAATTATTTACAGATGCAGAGAACCAATGAAAATATGACACATCAATATTGTGGGTCCCAATTATTTTTTTGTTGACCAAAATTTTAAATCAAATTACAATATATTATTTAAAAATTTTATTAGAACCCAAATAACTTGACATTAAATAAATAAATCGAAGTCAAAGGTGATATCATTTAAACTCTTAATTTAATCTAAAAATTTGTTTTCCGTAACATTACTGTTTTTTGTTCGGCTGTTTCCCATCTTTTTCAGCTATCTTCTCTCTCCGCATACACTCCCACAAGCCAACAAATATGCACTGATACAGTCTCTCCTCCCCAAATAACCAACGCATATGAACACACTCTTTGGTCATTGGAGGAGGCGGAATGAAAACGGAATTTTGATGATCACTCGTTGGTGCAGTGGTAGAGCCGTAGAGGTGGATCTGAGTTGGGGTTCAGGTTAGTGAGGAGGGTGTTGGATGGATTTTTTGAAAGGAGTTGCTGCTGGGTTTGTCGGGGTGTGTTTTGAGTGTGTGACTGTACGGTGGGTGGGTGGGTGGATTGACCCGTAAATGCGTGTGAGTTTCGTTGAGGGAGTGATTTTGTCAACGAAGAAGAAGGAAAGAAAGAAAAGGTGGAAACAGAAAAAGGGAGATGTAAGTAGCACAAAAAAAAAAAGAAAAAGAGAGATGAAGAATTAGATACACCGAAAAAAGTTCTGAAATGGGGCCCTCGTTGGATGTTGAGTGGTTGCCTGTAAACTCACAATTTACGGGACAACCGTGAATGATTCAATCCCGTCCCACATATGCCCTATGTTAGTTGTTTTTTTTTCTGCCCTTAATTGCTCGATTGATTTTTGACATTTGATGTTCTGTTGTAGCCTTTACCCCCTCCTTAGACAATGCTGAAAATAGTGTAATCATTACGCTNTTAATCTTTAAACTATATAAATTTCAACAATCAGCCCTCCAGCCCATTTCTCCCTTGAAAACATATGAAAAAAAAATTTGAGTTTAAGATGTACATAGAGATTAAATTATTTACGGATGCAGAGAACCAATGAAAATATGACACATCAATATTGTGGGTCCCAATTATTTTTTTGTTGACCAAAATTTTAAATCAAATTACAATATATTATTTAAAAATTTTATTAGAGCCCAAATAACTTGACATTAAATAAATAAATCGAAGTCAAAGGTGATATCATTTAAACTCTTAATTTAATCTAAAAATTTGTTTTCCGTAACATTACTGTTTTTTGTTCGGCTGTTTCCCATCTTTTTCAGCTATCTTCTCTCTCCGCATACACTCCCACAAGCCAACAAATATGCACTGATACAGTCTCTCCTCCCCAAATAACCAACGCATATGAACACACTCTTTGGTCATTGGAGGAGGCGGAATGAAAACGGAATTTTGATGATCACTCGTTGGTGCAGTGGTAGAGCCGTAGAGGTGGATCTGAGTTGGGGTTCAGGTTAGTGAGGAGGGTGTTGGATGGATTTTTTGAAAGGAGTTGCTGCTGGGTTTGTCGGGGTGTGTTTTGAGTGTGTGACTGTACGGTGGGTGGGTGGGTGGATTGACCCGTAAATGCGTGTGAGTTTCGTTGAGGGAGTGATTTTGTCAACGAAGAAGAAGGAAAGAAAGAAAAGGTGGAAACAGAAAAAGGGAGATGTAAGTAGCACAAAAAAAAAAAGAAAAAGAGAGATGAAGAATTAGATACACCGAAAAAAGTTCTGAAATGGGGCCCTCGTTGGATGTTGAGTGGTTGCCTGTAAACTCACAATTTACGGGACAACCGTGAATGATTCAATCCCGTCCCACATATGCCCTATGTTAGTTGTTTTTTTTTCTGCCCTTAATTGTTCGATTGATTTTTGACATTTTATGTTCTGTTGTAGCCTTTACCCCCTCCTTAGACAATGCTGAAAATAGTGTAATCATTACAATGAATATTTGAGAGAGAGAGACTGCAGAAAATTCTGCTGACAGTTGTATAGTAGAGGGCAATGGTTTGAAACCAATTTGACAATGAGAAGGGAAAATAAAACACCTGAAGCACTGCGAATCTCGTACAGTCGGTGATTCCAGAATAGCTGCATGTTCTGCTTCAGCAATTGCTTGAAACGATGATTTCTAGCCGCCTCCCCGTCTTTTACATACTGCTATATATTATTACAAGAACAAGACGAAGAAGAGAAGCAAAATGTATCATTAATTAAAAAAACAAAACATGGTTAATGAAGAACATGATAGAACTGTTATGTTATCAGAGAACTGGACATCATTTGAGTACCTGATGGTTATTGGGTGACATGAAGGCTGCTGGCATGGACATGAAGTTATGCATCTGAGAGTCTTGTTCTGGGACTGAGGCTGATGAAGTTGAGAACTCAATTGTCTTGTTCAAATCCATTATAGGTTTCTATTGCACCTACTCCTGTCAAGAAAGACCCATTAAATACAGAGAGAGAGAGAGAGAGAGAGAGAGAGAGAGAGAGATTAAGTTTGAATCAATCCTCAGGTGGATTCTAGCTTGGAGTGTCAGTGTCTGGATAGGGGGAGGGGAAGGAGATCATATCAAGGACAGGTGTAAGTGTAACCACCATAAAAGAGTGTAACCTCTTCCTTAACCATTAATGGATAGTTTTTCAAGCAAATTACAATAATCTGTATATCTCATTTGTTGAAATCTGCATAAACTTCTTACCTAAATCCTGACTCTTTTTTTGGCTGGAGCCTTAGTGGGAGACAATAGCATCACAGGGAATCCAGAAAATGTTGTACAAGAGGTGCTTTCTTAGAATAAAACCAAATCAATTCGGTGAAGTCCAAATCCAATTACGGTATCTTTTCTTTTTTTGGTCTCATATATGTGAACATAAAAGGACCAAAAATATTATTTTTTTTATATTATTTTAATATTTTCACAATGAATAATTACCTAAATCAAATTAAGATTTACGACTTGAAAGTATTTTTTTAAGTGAAAAAATTATTTTATTAATATTATTTCTATCTAATTTATCAGACCGATTGTCTTTCCCGATACCCCCAAAAAAAAAACTTCTATTCTTGACTAAAAATTTTAAAATAAAAGCATCGAGATAAGAGGAGTTAATTGAGTCTTAAGTTTTTCAAATTTTAGTATGAGTGAAACATGGCGCAAATTGATTGTCACCGGCATTAACTCGGTTGCCAAACGTACATTCCTTATTCAATGATGGCTCGGAGATAGGAGTTATAATCGACCTGAGTTATGTAAATTTGAGTCGAACTTGTTTTTTAAAATAAATTTAAAAAATTATTTAAATTTGACTCGTTTAAAAAATGAGTCAAGTTCGACTATTTTACATATAAATAAATTGAGTTTTGCAAATTTGAGCTGAGATTTTTAAACACGTTTTCTAAATAAATCAAAAAAAAAAATTTATTCAAACTTGACTCGAGTTCTATTTGAACCGAGCCCAATTAACTTGTCTCAATTATCAATCTTAGTCAGAGATTATATGTTTTGATTCCTACTTGTCTCAACTTGTTTTTGTGCTACAAGTTTAAACCTAAGTAAATCCACTTGTTTTTGTGCTACAAGTTTAAACCTAAGTAAATCCAAAGAATAACAATTTTTGGTAGTAAGGTTCCTCATCCTTTATGGAAGAGTTTAATTTGTACACCTAATTTAATATAGTTGTTAGATTAGAAATGGGTTTTATATAACATTTAAATTCACAATTAAAATTTGAATCATATGTGGTTGACTTTTTGGAATTATGATTGGCTTAATTATTTCTTACTTCAAATATACTTGAACAAGTCAAAATCGAATTAAACTGAGATGACTAAGATTATTTAACAGCTCTAATCAAAATCAAAATGCAAATCAAAGTACTCTTTTCAACTACTTAATGAAATTCACCTTGCAACAACAATGGAAAAAATATTTTATGCATATTTTAATTATCAATAATTATCATAGATGAGGACATAAACTATGCAACATAGATTTAATTTGAAGAACTAATGCAATATAATCATTCGATTAATTATGAATAATAATAATCATAAATAAAGTTTTTATTTAATTTAATAAAAGGAGTTTGGCATGATGGGTCCTTCCACAACGACCGTGGTGGTGACGTGAAGCTCAAAAGACGAGTTGGCCAGGATTCGCTGACCAAACGGTTGTTGAGACGGTAAACCTGGATTACGGAAAAGCAGCCATGCATGGAGATGGATGCCCCCACCTGGATTCCGACTCCCCCACAGTGCTTCTACCTAAAACGGTTAGACTAATAATCTAACCCAATAGCTAAATAATGACCCCACCAAACATTCGAGAGACTACGTAATATGCATGCAAACATAAGACAACATCTTACATGCAAAATGCAGAATTTTCTCTCTTTTGTTCTTTTTTACTATTAGGCGAGACTTCTTATTAATCTGATTTATTGATTTAATTAATTATTATTATTTATTTAACTGTGAGTTTTAATATTTATTTGGACTCACTTGCCTATCTAGTAGTTATGATTGATCAAGTCAATAAATCTTGTTAATATTTTAAATACAAATAACATTTCTTATTTTATGAATTTAATGTAAAATTAGTACTAATATAATTAACAAACTCGAATTAACCGGCTTGATGGATCACATTCAGTATACAAGTCGCTAAGAATTCAACTATATCCATAATGTATACATGATCAAAATTGTGGGTGGCACCCCCATGTACTACTATACGACCATGAACCCACACATAGGGAGAGAGAGAGAGATGATGCATATGAACATGAATAATGCATTGGAAACAAGACACATTCATAACAAATATAGATTCGTCTGTACTACCAACACCTTCCTCTCTTCAACGACTTTCACTATCCACGCTTTAGCTGTTACAATTAATATCAAATCTTTATTTTTTTTTCAAATTTTTTTGTTATTCATTAAATTTTATAAACTAAACTACAATTTAACTAGAATAAGGTACGAAAGAGTCTCTCCTGATCAGTGAGAGAATGGCGAAAGTGGCAGCGGTGTCCGTACGGGCAGATGTCGCCGGCGAGAACCATCCGGCAGACCTCAGTCTTGTAGCGTGGGTGCCTTATCACGGGTCGGAGCTCCGTGATACCATGTGCGAACCGGCACTGGTCCCCATATGGACACTCACCAGTCTCCTGCCACTTGTTACACAACTCCGTCTTGAACATTCCCTGGTTGTATACATCAAATTCCAGTGCCTCTGCTTGTTTCTTTACCCCTGGCACATGGACTCTCTGCTGCTATCAATACACACAATCACAAACACAACACCAAAATTGAGTTTTTTTTAGATAATTTTTTACGTATCAAATTTGTGAATCAAAACTCACACCAAATCAGTTGTAGTTGTTGGATTAACGATGGAACCTACTGATTTAACGGTTACAAACGATTTAGTGCACATAGTATTGCTCTCTTTTTTTTGCTCATCTTTATTTTGGTTCTTCCGGATCCATTTAAATGAATATTTATCGAATCTACTTAGATTTTAATTTTTTTTTTAAGCGTAGTCAAATTCGAATAACATGTAACTATGCTCAAGTAAAACCTCTTCATAAAAAATATTACTTTTATTAGTAAAAAACTCCGCCTCACAAGATCAATAGCTATAAAATTATTTTCTACTAATTGCAGGGAGTATTTGCTTATTTTTACCTTTTATTCTCCATTTTAAAAAAAAAATAAATTTCTAATAGTTTATGTTATCGTTGGTTACATGGATTTTGATAAAAAAAAAATTTATTGAAAACTTGGTTATTTTACTTCTAAATAACAAGTTTTTAAAAATATTTACCAAAAACTTATGTTTTGAATAAACCGGAGCTACTGGAACAGGCAAAACGTTTTGACTCACCGAGCTTAGAGAGGATGAACTTGTGACTCGGGGACGACTTGGGCCTCTATTGTTTGCTGCATTTTGTATCATCTTCAAATAACCGCTTGAGCGAACCGAAATGCTTTTCGGCAAGGGCACGCTCTCAGGATTCCTCCTCTCGAATTGGTTGTTGTTTTCGATCACTCTCGTCGGACTGATATGCTTCGAAGTTTCTACGACCGCGCGACTTCCACGTGACTCGTCTCCGATGTTAAGTCGATTGAAGTCGTTGACGATGGAGAGAGGTTGATGACCGGAGGAGAGAAGACAGTTTTTTATGGTGGCCTGAGAGAGGAGGCTTAAGCGGCGGACTAAGTCTGTGTTGGCGAGTCGGAGAGTATCATTCTCTTGACGGAGAGCATCGACTTCTTTGAGTGATTTCTGGAGGTGAGCAAGACAGAGTGCGTAGCGGTTGTATAGCTGTTGGTACTCGAGGATGAACCTGGCTTCGTAGAGGCGGTTTTCGGTTGCGATTGCATTGGTGGCTTCGCCTTCGACGGAGGAATCTGACGGCGAGAATGAAAGAGAGCTCGAGTTTGGCGGGAAATAGGAGGTATTGAAGTCGGTCGAATACTCGATTTGGTCACGAAATGTAGGGGAAAGGAATGGATTGCCAGAGAAATGTGGTGATGTAGAAGTGGTAAAGGACTTGTCGCCGGCGGTGAGGCCATCAGAGGTAAGGTTTTCGTTCTGCATTTTAGGTCTTGTTTGTTATTGCTGTATCTGAAACACGAAACACAAACATCTACACAAGATTTATCAATTCCAATCCAATCTAACCAAAATTGAAATCACGAGCATCAAATATCAACGAATTTCAGATGTATATGTTCCTTATCATCGAAATTCAACCCGAAAATACGTCAAAATAACTCGAATCAAGATCCATATTGAATCGAATTGCAAGTATAATCTCGATTCTCGACTAAACAGAAAGCAACAGAGTTCTTGAATACATCATACCTGAAGGCAGCAACAGACAGACTGTGTATACTATGGAGAGAGAAGAGGAGAGAGAGGGAGAAAAAGGGACGAAGCTGAGAATGAATGGAGCCAGATACAAGTGGGCTAATATAAAGACTAGAGATGAGGTGTTTGATGAATCAAATGAGTGGTTGATTGGTTACACCACCATATATAACTTGGCATGGAAGCATGACGAAGGTGGAGGGAGGTGGTGTTGAATTGAAGGTTTTGTTTTGAAATCATGAGTGAGGGTGGATTAAGAAAAGCTTTCCAATCTATATTTTAAGTAAGCCTTTAATCATTTCAGCATAGTTGCTTCCTTATTACAACTTTAACTAACCCTTGTGACTTCTTTATTATATCTCTTCCCAATTTTCTTAAGAAGGAAAAATTACATTTTGACCCTCACAATTATTACTCTTTAGTGGTGCAACTTGGTTTGGGCAATCCGATTTCAACCCGAGTTTAACTTGAAAAAATTAGGGTTTGACAACAGTTTTTTATACTTGGGTTGGACTTGGGTCGAAAAATCCCAACCTGAATTCAATTTGGGTTGGGCTCGGGTTAAGGCCACGCGAACTCGAGTTCAACCCGAACCTGATAAATTAAAAAAAAATTATATATATATATAAAGCATTAGTACTGATTTTTTATTTTTATTCTATCGTTCTCTTTGCCTCTCTCGTTCTCTGAGCCTCTCTTATTAAAAACTTAGTTGAAGTTATTGGTTGTTAATTTAGATGAATATTATGTAATTTATGTATTAAGTTTAGAACAACAAGCCTATTTTGGACTCTACCTGAATTGAATACGTAAAGTAACCCAAAATCATCAACCCAAGCCCGCCCGAATTAAACTCGGGTAGTGCTCGGGTTGAGTTCTCCAACCCAAAGTAGGATTAGGATTAAAGTTATGGCTGAAAATTATATACCTAGAGTTGAACTAGAGTTGATTGTCCAACCCGCCCGAGTTGCACCCCTATCTTAGCCTATATTCTTCCATCAACTATCATATTTTTCGGATTGTATTTCTAATTGTAGGTGTTGGTATCACGTTATTGCCTTAACTAATACATTTTTACACCTTGTATTTTCAACTATAATTATTTATTTTACATTGTCCTCAATTTTAGACATTGAAAATATATATATCTATATAATAAAACAAGAATATATTTGAATTTTATCTCAGTCACATTTTTTCTCTCAAAATTATCACCAATCACTTACCTTACCCATCATCCTTTTGTTAGACTCAAACGTCAAATCATATCACTCATTTCTATCACATATTTAATTATTTATATATTTTTTCCTTAAAAATATCACACCACTCATTCTATCATATATTTAATTATTTAATATTTAATTAATTTGTAGTTAATAAATTTTGAAAAATTTTAATGTGGTGGAATCGATTTTTTAAATGGTCGAATTTTATATTTTATTGTGCCTTCAAGCACGAATTATGACTAGTATATATATATATATATTTTATTATACATTTAGACTTTTTTTATCCAAATGTTTAGTTTTGAGGAAATGTAAAATCAATTCATGTATGTTATTCAGTTATTCGATACGCAATCCATCCACACAAAATTATCAATTATGGTTTAGCTTAAAAAATTTGAGTGAGCACACGAAGAGGCTCACATACAGAACGGTGTGAAATAATACCGAGAGCAGGAGATTCAATTAACCAAAATTCAAAAGTTGAAATTTCACATCTGCCAGCAATAGGTTTAGTCAAGACATTTATAACACGACTCAAATATGCCTCACACACTGGTATTTTAGTAATTTTTCTTGTTATTTTTACAGAATTTCCTTATTTGATCGTCAAACCATCACCCATTAATACAATACTAATATTAATTGATTCCAAATTCATAACAATGCCTATATATGGTATCCTCTTCAAATTCTACTAATGGTATTATTTCGATAGATAATAAGAAATGGCCCCATAAAAGTGTAGATCTAATACCTTATGCTGGAGGGATGGTCACAAGGAGCTTGGAGCAACATCCCCCCATACCGTTAGCACGCCAGATAATCTGGCATATTGAGCTAAGTGTGCCCAACCGCATCTCCAAATTTTCTGATAAATAAGAAATTACATTTTATAAATTATGAAATGATACAAATTGTAGTAAATTTGAGTCGATACAAATTCAATTAAACACGATGTATACACAATATACTAACCGAAATACATAAATCATAAATGGGTTGGGTGTAAGTCAAACAAAATTGACACGCAGCTTTGGGATTGTTTTGATCTTCTAAGAGTACCGTCGAGATCTAGACCTCCCTCCAAGCCTAATGGTTTTCATATGCTTTCGAGTATTGATTGCACCATCGAGTTGCTTGTAGTCTCTTCTCCTCCAATACCTCTTTAAGGAGCCATTAAATGAGTTGGAAAGAAAACTCATTTGGAGAGAGAGAGAGAGAGAGAGAGAGAGTAGGGAGATTTTAAACTGGTGAAATTTGGATTAACTTGTAGTAGTACACAATAAGTTGCTATTATAAAATCTTTTGAACTTGGGATAAAAAACTTTATTCGCAATCCATAAAATAAAATTGGGCTTAAGTTTTAAAAAATTTATTTCAATCCCTAAAACTGGAATTGAATTTATTTGAGATTAATAAAAAAAATAAAATTCAACTTAAAATTTTAAAAAGGGTAAATTGGAAGGAAGTACACTAAATTGGGTTTAATTATAAAAAAATACAAAAAAAAATGTAAAGTAAGGAAATTCTTAATTTTAGATCTTAATTGTGTACAAGTACATAATTTGAAATTTTCAATTTTTTTTTTAACATTTGTGTCCTCCCTTAAATCATGCGATTATTTTTTAAAACTATTATTATTTTTTGAAATTATATTTATGCATTAAAAATCTCTTAATTTAACGGAAGATTTGATTCTTTCGTTTATTTTGAGGATAAATCAGTTGGTTTAAATTTTAAATTTTGTAACAATATTATTTGTTATCTTCTTCTTCTGCCTGGAAGTATTTTATCAATGCAAGTCCGAAAAATTATATCATCCTTATCATTCAATCTAAGTAATTACAAGGTTAAATTCATGACTCCATTAGGTTTATGTCTGTCATTTTAAAGGTGATTATATTATTTTTTTATATGTGAACACTATAACTGAAATTCATCTTGTATATGCATTTACAGTGTAATAATAAAGTATAAAAATTTGCTTACACAAAACATTGTACTGTTACATTTTGTCAAACATATATTTATATATAATTTCATTGTAACAGTCTAGCTTTGTTTTGAATTTGTTATCACATCCACAAAACCATTGAACATTGTCCATGTTACAATGTTACGCTGTATTGTTACATTGTTTTTGTTACACTTTGCGGAAAATACAAACGAACTTACATCTACAATGGCGGACCAGTAGGATTTTCATTTCAAAGATGAAGCCATGTAGATGTTCAGGAAACAATTTAGGGCTTCTCGCCGATGAAGATGAAGCAGCTTTTGGATAAGAAGACGAAGCGGTAACCGTTTTTCGAATATGAAGCTCTTCACGAATTAATGTTTCTAAAATCCAGGAGATAAGCTTTATCACTGTGTATCTAATTAATTTTAATATATATTCCTAAAACAGTTTTTAAGAAAGTAAGAGTCTGTTTGGTTTGCATTTTAAAAAATAGTATTTGTAAACTATTTTTAAGAAGAGTTTTTTAAAAGTATGTTTTTGTATTTTTTTGTGTCTTAAAATTTGTTTGGTTATATAATTTTAAAAACAGTTGTATAGAACATAAAATAATAAAATATGTTTGGATAGTAATCCAAAAAATAATAAAAATAATAACCCAAGAATAAATGATTTCCTTAAAAAAAATTGATTCCAATGATCAAAATAAACATATTATACCCAAAAACACAAACACCACCGAAATAATTTCAAATGATCATTACATTATATCTAACTTCAATCATATTACACCCAGATCTATAAATTTTATTGTAAATCATGTTTACTAGTGCTTTAATCATGTACAAATTAATTATGATTTTACAGCTCTGGATAAATCAGATTTGTAAATCATATATAGATCTGGTTAGATTTGTATAAATGCTTAGAGAGAGAGAGAGAGAGAGACGTCATAGCTGTTGGTCTAAAGAATGAGAAGGCGTCGATTCGATAGTGATATCTCAAATGTTCGTTGGAATTGCGCCTTCCACCGGATCTGTGCCTTCCAGTCGTTGAATCTATGGGTTGAAGACAAATCTATGGTCTCGGCGAAAGACAGAGAGAAAGAAAGGGAGCGAGATAAAGAGAGACGTTGGAGTTGTTGGTCTAAAGAAAGATAATGCATCGATTCAATGGTAGGATCTTAGGCATTCGTTGGAGTTGCGTCTTCCATCGGATTTGTGCTTCCAGACGCCAGGCTGTGCTTCTAGTCATTGGATCTGTGGGTCGAAGACAAATCCATGGTGTCGGCAAAAGAGAGAGAGAGAGGGGTAAGGGAAAAAGAACGCAAAAAAAAAAAGTACTTTTATAGTGATATATGAAGTGCACAGTAAACGATTACCGTGTTTTATAAATTCTCGAAAATTTGTTCCTAAAATCATCCAAACTAGCCCATATTTGTTCTCTAATCTCTGTCATTTTTTTTATCAGTTTTCAATAAACAAGAGAAAAACCACAACTGTCCAAACATGTTTCCTCAATTTTTTGGATTTTTAAAACAAAAAACAGACCTTAATGTTCCAAAAATTCAGCGGCTAAGTCTTATCATTGTATACTTAACTAATGTTAAGATATATTTGTAAAACCATTTTTAAGAAAGTAAAATTTAGAAAATTGATAGTTAAATCTTTGTATATCAGCATTGTACTTCTTTACAACACATTTTTTTTGTGTACTTTTTACAATTATGTCTAATTTAATATACCAATTTCCAAAAAATCCTTAAAAAAATTTATTTGGAGCCTTTGAGGGCTATTTGGTATGTGGGTTTGAGGAGGTTTTGAAATATGGGCTGGAGACTAAACTCCCTTAAACCCATGTTTGGTAACTATCCATTTAACCTAGATTTTGAAATCTGGTCTGGTCATGAATCTCATGTTCATGAGTTTCATGAAACCCATAGGGGGTGGGTTTCATATGTGGGGTTGAGGGTTTCACATTCAAATGACATTTATACCCCACATATATCCATACTCATGTTTGAATTAAATTGGTTAAGGGGTATAATAATCATTTATATAGAAATATATTATTATAATAATCATATATCCCTGCGTATACTAAATATGGGTATGGACAACATTAAATATTGAATCTCATCTTTAAATCTTATTTTTGGGTCAAAACCGAATTTGGACAAGTCAATTCAAACTTCTCCTAAAAAACATACCAGACAAGTCCATGGTGCTCTCGGCAGACCATAGATAGGGCTGTCATGGGTTCGATAACCATTGGTGCATTGGGTCAGCCCATATAGTCGTAACACACGCACGAACACTTCATCGTCAGATAATATGACTATTTTATACTCGTAACCTAATAGATAGGGTACCAGCCAGCCAATTGAAGCCAACAGTAAATGACAAAACCCAACTACATCAATGGAGTTCGCAAGACACAAAGCAATCCCTTTTGGGAGTGGAAGGGAATAAACGGAAAAAAGAGAATGAATGGAGACAAGGGATTATCGGTCACCGGATTCCTCCAGGAGAATGGGCGGAAGATGGAGGAAGCAGTGCTGGGTCCTGGCGGCGGCGCTGGGGTTGGGTGCGGCATTGGAGTAGGCTTGGGATTAGTCGGAGGAGTTGGCTATGGTGGCTGGCCATGGAACCAACTCAGGATGGTTTTCGGGGTTGGGATGGGCTGTGGGGTTGGTGTTGGCTTTGGTTATGGGCAGGGGCTTGGATTAGGCTTCAGTTTGGATACATTGAGATCACATCTGTCCAATTCCAAGCCGAAATCAGATTCTAAAGATTGGTTTATAATTCATCATTGATTCTGTGCTCATGCTTAGGAATTTTCTCTTTCATATCCTTGTTTGTGTCTTGGGAAATTCTTCCGTACTTTGCAGCAAAATGTTATCCGATCAAGTTCGACTCAAATTTGCGCCAATATGAATATGATTAAAGTGTTCCAAAATTTTTTGGAATTGAGCTTAAATTTTCTAGTGTCGATACCAAAAGTTGTAAATCTTTTATTAAGTGACAATTTGACATCATCATATCATAATGTATCTCTACTTTTTTGCTGATATTGATATCGTGTATAACCCATATGAATATTTATTGTTGATCTTGGTGCAACTAATAGAGTACTTATTTCTCTATAGTCAATCTATTTTAACCTGTACATTTAGTTTCAAACCCGGGTATTTACTGCTCTCTCGGTTGATGGATCCAGTGTCATTATACCTTCGACATATAGGCCAGAAACTTTATCGCTGCAATTCTAAATAGCTCAACCATCAGTCAGCTCCCTGGTAAGCTTTGTTTGTACGTTACTCGTGAATTGGTTTACAATATTTTCTTTGTGATTTTACTGTTTTACATTTTAGATGCGAATAGTATGTAGACTTGACACAGTCTGGTTTCTTCAACATGCTACAAAATGAGCAAATCGGAAATCGCGAAGACCATGAACCCAGCTTTTAAAAAGAAGCTCCAGCGAAACTCGGCTTAGAGAAAAGGAAATAAAAATAATAACACCGGTTCTTTCTTCGCAGCTCAGAACTGCGCAAGTCTAAACCTTTGCTAACTTGCTACACGAAACAGCTACCTTTACAAAGAAATAATACTCTGATGTGTGTACACATGCGAATACATGTAAATTTCAGTAAAAGTGAGATCTGCTGCATGAACAAATGTGAGGATTGCTTCGAAATTTATCTCCAAAACACTTTTGTATAATGCGTATCCTGTGGAAGATAGGTGTATAAAAGAAGTCGAACACAAATCAATATTAAAGTTAGATCTCATACTCGTGGCTACTTTAAACCTTCATTGCCAAACTTAAAACAACACCAACAATTTTCTGGAAGAATTTGCGAGTCTTGACAAATACGCCACCAGTAATTTCCCCATCAAATTCCCACATGTTCTCAGCTCACTCACTCGACATTTGTGAATTGCAACTCCACATTACTTCCTTCCTATGCTGTCTTCCCCAAATTCTCATGGAAAGAATATTCTTGGACCTATTCTCTACCACAACCAATCTAGGTTGAGCTATGGTCTCTGTCTTATGCCTCTTTTTGGTCGTGACTGCAATCCTCTTGCTTAACAATAAATGTGGAATTTTATCATCCCAAAAGATATATTGATCTCAATTCAACCATTTGAATGTCCAACTTAACACCAAGTGGATTTTCCTGATTCTGGCAGGAACAGAACATATTAAAAGCATAACAATAACTCAAAACAGAGGACCAAGTCAATATACAAAAAGAGGCAAACCTACCATGTTGAGTTGTTAAGATCATCAAAAGCCAAAAGGCTGTGTCGACTCATCCAACATTGATGTAGATTATTACCTAAGTTGTTGGATGCCATGTGTACTTTGGTTTCAACCTAAAAAAATTCAAACCCATGTTCCCATTCGTCTGCTAAAGCAATCACATTCTTTGGGAAAGAGGTACCAAAGAAAGAACAGTGCATCAAAAAATGAGTGTTGCAGTTACTGGAGATGTATGTAAATATCTTCAAGAAGGCAATAGACTAGAAATTCTATTTTCTAGCTCTAGGTTGTACAAACTTGAGACGAAAAACACATCGACCAGACATGTCCTCAAAAAGGTGCTTCAGCGATTGGTATAAGGCAATAATATGGGAAAAAAACCAATATCCACGGACCGAAACAGACCATATTTATGACTGAGAAATGCTCCCTTCCATGTGTACCTACTATAGACAATTGTCCTACGAACTTCAATTATAGCACTCGACTCCTAAAATGTATAACCAACCTCTTTTTAGACATCTATTCCCTTCTAAACAGACTACAAATTACAACAATAAGACTATTTTTGTCAATAATCTAGAAAGATGGCAAAAGCACTTAGATGATACTGTATAACAATCAAAATCGCTAATAACTATAGGCTTCCGATGCTTGCCATCCTCAACCAAGGCGATCATAATGCAGGAAATTGCATGAACAAGGAATGAATGGTTAGTGTTCAGCTAGCAAAAACTTTGTTGTATGCCGTGTCAAAAAATTACATCCTCATTTGCTTCTTTCCAACTTCTTCATTCCATGCCAATGCAAAGCAACATCTGCAGAACTTTTCCAATCCATTTCTAGAAGGAATAATTTTAGTAAAATTCAGCATAAATTTCCCAATTCGCTTATAGATGGAATAATTTCAGTATCATAGTACTAATGTAGCCACGCCCTAGGCACCATTACAACAACAAATCATGTATATAAATTACTCACAACTAGCTACAGAAACAAAAACAGATTTCTAGCAGCATCCAACCATCGCCTAATTTTATGAAAACCCCCACAAAAATGTGCAACAATCATCAACAAAATCATTCAGGAAAAAAAAAAGCACCATTAATTGATTAATTGTTTGCAAAATCCCACTAAACGATCTCATTGCTAAGGAAATAACACTATTCGTAATAAACCAACACATCAAAACCAAAGATCAAACACATAATTGAAAAAAAAAAAATTAAACCTCTAATCAATCTCTTGGAGAGACGGTGCACCGGCAGCAACATCCTCGACGGTGAACTTCCCCTTAGCTTTATCAGCAGCCTTTCCCTTGGCCTTCCGATCAAGCAAAGCCTTCCGGTCCTTGTCAAGTTTGAGCTTAGTAACAACCACCTTGGAAGGATTAACACCCACATTCACCGTCGACCCGTTTACCTTCTCGCGGGTGATCCGTTCAATGTGGATGACCCATTTCTTACGGTAGACCTGGACGACTTTTCCCTCACGGCCTTTGTAAGTCCCACGCACCACCTGGACCTCGTCGTCTTTTCGGACCGGGATTGACCGGACGTTGTACTTGTGCCTGAGGTCCGCCGATAGAGGTGCGCTCATTAGGACACGTCGGACGCTGGAGGGTGCCGTGAAGTGGGCCTTCCGGCACTTGCGGCGTGAGCTTGTGACTCTTGGATTGTATTTCATTGTTGGAGGGTTTGTGTCTCTGTCTCTCTCTCACACAGTCACACACACAGAAAGTGGATTTTGGAGTGCAAGAGGAAATGGGTTTGAGAGGCGATGAGAGTACAATTAGCGGAGACAAACTGAGGGAGGAAGGAGGGGGTGTTTAGGGTTTCGGTGACTTGACGAAAATGGGCTTGGTTGTTGTTTGTTTAACGATAATGCTCTCAAAAGCCAAGAGAAGAATTAATCCCTAAACAAAATTTTGTTTTGATGTATTATTTTGATCACCATAAAAACAAAAATGTTTTAACCCATTTCAAATATAAAATAAAAACAAATAAAAATTATGAGAATAATTTTTTCAAAATACACTAAAATATCTCAAAACGCCTTTTTTTTTATGACCAAAACACATAAATATTTTAAAACAATCATATAAATATATTGAAATATTAATTTAGATTATATTATTAATTCTTTCAATCTTATTGAAAATAAAAATATCTTATCTACTTTGACGATTTCAAAATAAAATTTTAATCCTTCAAAATAATTTATTAATACAGAAAAAGAAAACACAAATATGACATAGAAGGTAAAGTGTTACATTTAGGTGGTGTTTGATAAAATTGAAATCTGAAGTCTGAAAGTTGAAAGTTGAAAGTTGAAAGTTGAAAGTTGAATGCTGAATTTGTGAACTATTTGGTATTCACTGAAATTTAGGTACTGAATTGAACTAAATTGTTTGATAACTACACAAAGCTAACGTATGAAAATATATTAATTTTCAACTTTACTCTTCCACTCTTTAATTTGAAAATATTTATAAAATATGTCATAACATAAATCATAATCACTATTATTGTATTGTAATCTACATTTAACAAATATTTGATCAAAATAAATAAATAAATAACATTTGAATAACACAATAGCTGAACAATAATAAATTGAATAATATAATAAGTGAACAACATCTGATAAAAAAAAAAAAGAACAATAACTAATAAATAATCAAATAATATTGAAAAAAATACAATAAATTAGATTTCATTAACAATATGTGTGTTTGTGCGCACACGCAATGCATGTGTGTAAGTATATGTGCGTACAGTGCATATATCTGTGTGTAATTGTGTGTATAATTATAATTATGTATGTATATTTTTGTTATGTAAGACAAGGGAAAGATAAAAAAAAAAAAAAGAAATCGACAAAGAGAATATATAGGTTAAGAGTTTTGGAGAGAAAACTAATTAAAACTTTCATAGGATTGTAAAATATTTTGAGATATAATTGTCATATTGTAAATATTATTAAAGTTGATTTTACTGAGCACTTTCAGTTTTCAGAATTAAGTAAGATATCTCCTACTTAATATTGTAACCTATTTTTAAGGAACATTTAACATATTAAGAGAGTTTAAATTTTAATTATCAAACGAGATTAATTCATAAGTGTTAAATACATTTATTTTAAGTGCTAAATTTTTGTTAACAAACACACCTTTAATTATGTGTCTCTACAAGAATCAAATTAGAAATAAAACTAAGAACTCTTCTCTCCTCATTTTTTTATTTTTTATTTTTAAAAAATTATCCAATCAACACTTAACTTCTCTATTTTCTCACCAATTAAATATTACTTATTTATTTGTTTTTTAAAAAAAAAAATCATTTTCTATGCAATGTATATACAAATACTTAAAAAAGAGGTACTCCAGCCGATATGTACATGAACCCATTGTAGCAAGTATAGTGGAGATGATCCTAAGATACCCAACAACTAAGAAGAATTTCGAAATCATCCCTTCAAAGTCACCTCCTCCCTAACTCCAAATCTTGTACATTTGAGCTGGAATCACCTGCTATAGAAATCCCCATGAACGTATTACGGTTTCTTTCATCTTGTTGATTTTCAATGTGAGACTCCGAGGTCTGTACATTTTGCGTGTCCACGGTATTGGCAGGTTGTGCACTTGCACCTGACTCCTCCAACACCCGGAAAAAGGCATAAGGTCCCCAAGCTACAGTTAGAAATGGGAAATGGCTCAACTGATAGAAAATCAAAGCAATAACAAAACACACATAGGCACTATGATTTTTAAAACTTGATGATACCGAAGAAATATACAATTGGTCAACCCCTGATGTCCAGGTCACCAACGGGATTTCAAAAGACTACAAATAATATTAAAACTACCAGAAGGGGTAGAAAAGGACTTTCGCCATCAAACCATATCTTAGATAATAAGTCACCGCTTCTAGAAAGTCTCGTCACATGAAATACTCATTTTCTTGTGCATTCTTACCCCTCTTTCCACACACACGACGTACCCCACCAAGAGCCTCATCTAGCTCTCCACCTCATGCTTCCCGATTTTTTATCCCATCACAACTAAATTGTGTTCTCCATACAAAACTGTTCGATGCATGCTCTACCTCTAGGGGCTAACACGTATTACATAGAAGTAAATCTTTCTTTTTTTTCATCTTGTTCACTTTTTTCGTACATAACAATATGGCTACATTTAAGACGCGTATTTGGGTCAAGGGAAGATTGTAATATTAAATCTGAATGTGACAAAGAATAATTTACATTCGAAGCGTTAAGTAAACGAGTGAGTCTATCTCACCAAATTCGGTGTTCCAAAAGTTGGCCATAAGTCAGCTATCATCCTTTTGGAGCAAAACCCCTTTGCCATCGACATATGTTTGCCAATAGCATCAATATTAGTACAAGTCTTCGATATGACTTCTATGACCAACTTTTCTTAACCAGAGTTTCGATATTCTGTTTAACAATTAAAACAAAGATTATAAGATCACCTGTGCAATCATCTAAATGAATTGTTTTCAAAAATTAAACTCCTCATTTCTGCAATCAGTTAATGGACTGTTTTTGGTAAAATCTAATGGAATATGTTTGTTGGTTCAGGGCTTTTGTTCTCTGTTCTCATAACGGCAGTTATAACTGATGCGATAAAAGTTGCAGTTGGTCGGCCTCGACCAAACTTTTTTTGGCTCTGTTTTCCAGATGGGAAGGATGTTAGTTGGTTTGGAGATGCAGTTCTTTGATAATTGTGATTTTGTGAGGATAATGGTATACCCTTTCTCTTCAGTTTCATCCCCTGCTCTTTAGAAGAGTGCTTTAACTGATTAATACTTCTCAGTTTTATGACCAACTGGGAAATGCCGTGTGCCATGGCGACAAAAGCATGATAAATAAGGGGCATAAGAGTTTCCCAAGTGGCCATACATCATGTAAGTAGTAAATATTTGTGTCTCTTCATGTTCATTATATTTTAATGATGAGAAATATTGAATTATCTGTAGGGTCCTTCGCTGGTCTTGGCTTTTTATCGCTATATCTATCTGGAAAGATAAAAGCATTTGATCGTCGAGGCCATGTTGCTAAACTATGCATTGTTTTGCTTCCTCTACTTGTCGCATCTCTTGTTGGAATATCTCGAGTAGATGACTACATGCATCACTGGGAGGATGTGTTTGCAGGAGGTCTCATAGGTTCAATCTCTTATCAGTCGTTATTTTCTATTCTTAATTGGAACTACTTAGTTTCCATGGAGATATATATTCTTATATATGTGTGTGTGTTCGTGTTCGTGTTCGTGTTCGTGTGCATACATGTATATGAATGTATATTATCTGCCCTCTTATTGTTCTTCACTTCTAGCTGCGTGTCCTGCTGTGGATGTATCACTTGGGATGATTAATTTGCATCGAAGCAGCATGGTTGTGGTTCACTTCAGGATTGGAAATCACTAGGTGGCCGAAGGGTTAAATAGGTGACTAAAGTGAATGTTATTGTAACCGTTTGCATGAACTTCAAGCTACTCACAACCAGCCATTACCTACACGCATGTTTATTTTTGTTATCAGGGAAACAATATCAAACTTGAAAGACAATCACTTGATTAGAAAAGAATTTGAAAGTTAAAATTGCTAACTTTGTAAACTGAAATCATGTGATAGTGTTTTCTATTCAAATGTAAAATTTCGAACAATGTTTGAATGGCTTACAGATTCCCCTCAATTGTCTTGTTACTAATGAACTTGGTTAAACCTGGCATTACCTTTCTCCTCCTCATTGTGAAAGAAGTCGATGGATGCATATGTCGCATTGCAGGAGACGCAGACTTTAGAAACTTTGCCCGTCTTGCTGGGGTTGCATTTCCACTTCTGTTCTTGGATTTTTTAGGCAATGTAATGTCGGGCTGCAAGTTTCCATGCTCCAAGTTTTTCTCACGTTTTTGCAGCCAATTGCGTAGATCATTCTCAACCCCTTCATTTGCAGGAAGTGACTGCTCTGTTCTATGGAGCTCTTTCTCTTCTTCTTCCCCCCTAAGTACTTCTGTGATCTCTCTTTGAGCTAGTTCAGTTTTCATTAGCATCTCCTTCTCACTCGCCTTTAAAGCTTCTATCCAAGCCTGAGCTGCTGCAACCTTTTTAACCGCAATTTCTTCAGCCCCTGGGGCATGTCCTTTCAAGTACTCATATTCGAATTTTGAGATAGTTATTTTGGAGCAATGTTGAGAAGCTGAAGCTCTAGCTCTCATTGTACTGTCTGTAAGTGCTTTTAGATTCTCAAGAGCTATTGCTTCTGATGATTTGACAGACTCAACCTCTTGCATTGCAGCATGTAATCTTTCCTCAGCCAAATCTGTTTCGGACTCAGTCTTCTCAACTTCTGCCTCTAGATTTTCAATTTCTGCACCCATAAGTACCTTCTCTTTCTTGGCTGCCTCAGCTTCAGTTTTTAACTTTTCAAGAGCGAGGGATAAATTTGACATGATTGATTGTGCCTTTTCTTCAGCTGCAGATGCAGTCTTCAATTTGGATTTTTCCCTGAGGAGCTTAGAATGGAGATTTTGAAAAGTTAAATCAGCTTTCTCTTCTGTTTTCCGTAGTCGAGTTGTTTCTTCTGAGACATGCTTGAATTCATCCCTTATGATATCCATGGAGGCCATGAACTCAACACTTTCTTTTCTAACAGAAGCTAACTTTTTATTGGCTACCTCCAATTCTTCTGTGATTGACTGTAACAAAGTAGGAGAAGCCCATTCCTCTTGATTTTTCAAGCTCTCAAAGTTTTGAACCCTTTTGTCCATTTCCTTAAGTTGGCTTAGTTCACACTCTAGCATATTGACATCAGAATTTGTAACAGCCAATTTCATTCCAAGCTCTTTTGTGCAGTTTATCTCCTGGATGATGCCATTCATTTTCTTCCTTGTTTCCTCCATCGCAGATGAGTATTGCTTGGCTTCTTCTTTTCGCTGAGCTTCAATGGCTCCAAATTCATTAAGAGCCTCTATCCTAGCCAATTCAACCAGCACTTGCTCTTCATTAAGTTCCTCAATTTTTTTCTCAAGTGCTTCAACCAAGATTGAGTAAGACCGCAATTTTGAACTTGAGGCTTCAGCTTCCTTCTCTGCTCGCCTTTTCTCTTCCAAAACAGAAGCCATGTCAAGCTTAAGCTTACTAATTTCCTGCTTTATGTATTCCAGTTCTATCATCACATTTGCATACCGATGATTCTCAGCATTCCTCGCGGTCAATTCCAATTCTTCTACGCTTCTTTTAGGCTTTCTTAGTTTTTCCAGCTCATGATTCCATGCTTTCGCTCTTGAATTTGATTCTTCAATTCTCGAAGTTAGATCTCTCACTGTCTTCCTTGCATCAAAAAGTTCAGATTCTGCCCTGGCTTTCACCGAGTCTGCTAATTTTTGGCTCTCGTTGAATCCACTGATGTCTTCCCTTACATGGTGAAGTTCTCTTGTCCTTGAAGAGGGCTTTTAGTAATTTAAAAAAAAAATTGATTGAAGTTACAACAAATTTAAACTAAGGAGGAGGATATACAACAGGCCATTTGAAGACAAATGGTACAAAGGAGTTTCATGGTTCTTTGCATTATACCTCTTTAAAACTCATTTGGGGTTTCTCCAATCCTGAATTCCCTGCTAGAATTTTTCCTCCATACAAATTAATGCCGGCTTTAACCTCCCCAACGCTGCTGCTGCTGCTGCTGTTGTTCTTCCACTCTCTTCCATCCATTTTCAAACTGTTTCACACTCAAATATAAAGAATTTAAATTCGGTTTTTACTCACCAAATATTAATAAAGCACAGTAGTTGAAAGAAGGATGTGTCGAGCAAGCAACGCGACCCCATGTTCTACTGCACTAAGCCTCGTCCTTGTACAAGGAGGAAGCCACTCCCCAATTTGAAGTTATCTTGAACTGGAAAAATCTGGGGGTTGCTTTCAATACTGAAATATCAAACTGAATCACAGTTTGTTCTGTAATGCAACGAGTTACAGAGAGAAAGCAATTCGTTTCTTAATTAAGAAGAGAAGTAAGAAATTAAAGTTGCTGTGCATTCCTGTAATGGAATGTGCCAAATTATATATATATATATAAATAATCCAAAGAAATGCATACCTGATAATGTTTGCTGTAAATAGGGTATTTGGTTCCTCCGTGAGTGAAATGGGTTGAGAATAAGCAAACCATGAAAATGAAGATAGAAAACAGTTGGCGATACAAATTCTGATAATGGGCTGTTCTGGGAAACAAAGACCAGCCACCTAATTTTCATAAATGCATGGGGTAAATTGCACAAATGGACCCTAAGGTTTATCACTTATCATACTTTACTCTTTAAAATTTTAATTTCGTCAATTTCATCCCTAAACAAATTAAAAAAAAAAAAACAACTCTATCCCCTTTTTTTTTTGTGAAAGTTGGGGCTGAATTCTCTTGGATGGACTTATAATGACTTGAATCCGTCAAAAAAATTTATTTGATAATAAGTCTATTTTTTTCTTACTAATAAATACTTAAATCCACTATTTTTTAAATCCCAAAAATACCCTTAAAAACCTTAATTGTGTTTAATTATAGAAACCTTAAAAACCTTGAAAGTAGCTTTAAATTAATTTCTTAAATTAGAAATTATTATCCCTTAATTTACTCATAAATTAAAATTCAAATTTATATTCTCTTTCTCTCTCTCTCTGGTTAGATCTTCTCATTCAATAACAAATGCAAACCTTCACAATAACAATTGCAAACCTTAATGTAACATTTATTTATTTTTCTTCACAATAATATCAAATTTTTATGCATAGTAACATAACGACTTTAACAAAACTCAAGAGGATATATATTGCACAGCAACATTAAGGAGATATTTTTTTACACAATAATATCAATGAAATATTTTTTTCTTCATAATAATAATAATTTTTCCTTATTTTTCACAAGATACGATCCACAAATAAAAAAATTACATTATTTAGAGTAGTAACACATAATCATTAGTTGAATTAGGACACTCATCACCACTTGTGAATGTCAAGACATCGAATATGTTAAAATAATTTTTCTTTTTCCTCATAGTAACATTAACTTTTTTTCACAAGTAACACAATCAAGTATTTTTTGATTGTATTGCACAACAAAAGATCCAAAAAATTAAAACCTATATCATTTAATTAATAACAATGAATCACATTATGAAATTAGGAATGCAAATAACAATGAAAATTTTGAAAACTTAGAGGCTTCTTCGTCTGGTTATTGGTTTAAATGCTATTATTTTTATTTTCAATTTTATTCAATGTTTTATGTTACTATTTTTTTTTGTTGAGTATATTACTGTTATTGTTAAGCATGTTACTATTTTTGTCGAATATGTTACTATTTTTGTAGAACATATTACTATTGTTATTTTTTAAAAATATTAATATTGAATGAACATGTTACTATTGTTTTTTTTTAAAATATTAATATTAAGTGTTACTATTTTTTTATGTCTAAATGTTACTTTTTTTTGTGTGTTTAAATGGTATTATTTTTGTGTTTAAATGATAAATTTTATTTTTTTTTGGTATTTGAATGTTACTATGTTACTATATATATAAATGAGAGAGATATATAAAGTCCTAGCCTATATATGGACATAGATAGATATGAGAAAAAAAAAATTTTAATGTTAGTCAAACTCTTAAAATTTATGAATTTTTAGTTTTTAATTTTATTTCACTTCTAAAGGGAAAGGATAGTCTAGTAAAATTAACAAAAAATAGAATTCATAACAAATAAATTTTCTTGGCGGACTTAAGTTTAAACAAGCATATATAAGGGAGAACCGCCTCCAAATTTTCTGCCCCAACCCCAACCCTCCATTCGATGTTTGCCCCATGAAACTCCCCAACCCACCATTGGTTGCCATCACCTCCATTACCCCTCCATCACCCCAAATCCAATCTCCTCTATTCTACATCCACTGTAAGCCAATCCAATTAGCTAGCCATAACCTGTAACAAAACCACCTTTTCCTCTATCACACAGTAGATAATTCAAGAGAGAAACAAAAATTTAGAAAGAGGAATTCCCATTTCAAAATCAAAATCACATACTCAATTCAAACTTAAAGCTTCATCAATTCAACTCTGGGGGCGTGACACTTAGTTTGATTGGGGCAGCTTGATGAATTGGAGCTTGATCGCCCATTGAAGTCCCCTGAAAAATCAAGATGTGCACATAGAGACAGAGAGATGTAGCGATAGAGATAGAAGAAAAACTATAAGAATTTGAGTGCATGTGTGTTTTAGTGGGTGTGTTGAACAAATGTGTTATGTATTGTATGGTGCGTGTGTGTTGCATGTGCACTAGGGTTTTGGAGAGGGTAGATTGATGTGTTGCTTTTGAGGAAGAGATATGCACTGTGTGACGATTGAGAGAGAAAGAGATGGATGTGTTGGGTTTGAGGGAAAGACACACACATACATAGATTTGTTTTTTTTGGTGGGGAGGGGGGATGCAGGTAGAGGGATGAATTGGTTTGAGGATTCTGGGTGAGGGTTGGGGTGGTGGAGTTTGTAGCCATGGAAGAGAGAGAGAGAGAGAGAGACGGTGAGTGACAGTGTGTTTGCGCCCGTTGTTGTTTGTGGTATTTCAAATATAGTAAAATCACTTATTAAAAATTTTTATTTGAAATATGTAATGTATAAAACAATAAATTAAGTACGAAACAGTTACACATAATATAAAAATAATTGTACAAGAATTTACGAAATAGTTATAGCATTCTTATCAAGCAGTTACACATAACTGTTTGTCAAACCAATATAAATATTAATTGGGTTGTAGAATAGAAACTATTATTGAACTTTAAGTAGATCAAGACTAGTGTTTGACATTATGTCCTTAAGACAGATTTCGTCCTCACACATGGTGCTTATGGAATATAAAGCGTCTGTCTCCTAAGATATAATGATATTTATACAAGTAGAAGTAGCACTCCAATCTACCTGTCCAACAAACTAGAAATTGTGTTGTGTACTCTTCAAAATGCAGACTGTCTTAATGATGTATAAAATTGCCTTAAATATGATTAAGAATGTATTGGATGCAAAATAATTATGTGACTGAATTATTTATAGAGAGAATGATGACTGTCTGAATCAATCATCATATGAACGAATGTAACCCAATAGTCACATGTAGCCAGAAGATACCACTTGTGTAACTGTTCTTAATGAACATACACAACTCAATTTTGGATCGGAGGGAAGCAAAAAATCAGAACCAGTGCGATCCAATGGATACAAAAAATTAAATTTTAGATTAAGAAATTTACACCCAATTAATTAAACGAATTTTCTCCAAAAAATATAGGGTTTAGTCTAAACCACACCCACACCCACACTTGTACCTGTACCCGAGTCCAGCCGAGTCATGGCGAACAATCGAGTAGGGGTGGCAATTTTTGATACGACACGATAACCCGATACGAATAAATGAGTTTGGGTTGACTAAGTTTTTGACACGACCCGCGTATGACACGACCCACTAACACGAAGTGTTAATGGGTTGTGTTCGGGTTCAACCTGTTTAACACGAATTGACCCGTCAACACGAAGTTTTTAATTCGAAGGAGATTGTCTTGGCCTTTTCGTTGCATGTATGAGTTTTTATGTTTTGATGACTTGTTTTTTCCATTACTTCTGATGTTTAATTTGGTTGTATGATGTACAATTAACATATTTAATTAGTATTATATAAATAAAATATTAATTATTTATAACTGTTTATCAAGTATTGACATAATTATTGTATAAAAAAGATACTATTACTCATTATTGTTGTTATTATTATTATTAAGTTAATTTTTAGTTTGTAGAAAAAGTATGAGGAGAGATTCAATTAAGTGAAAATAAAATCTTAGCGTTAAATTTTTTATTCAAAGTTTATGTAAGTTANTGTTTTTTTTGGTGGGGAGGGGGGATGCAGGTAGAGGGATGAATTGGTTTGAGGATTCTGGGTGAGGGTTGGGGTGGTGGAGTTTGTAGCCATGGAAGAGAGAGAGAGAGAGAGAGACGGTGAGTGACAGTGTGTTTGCGCCCGTTGTTGTTTGTGGTATTTCAAATATAGTAAAATCACTTATTAAAAATTTTTATTTGAAATATGTAATGTATAAAACAATAAATTAAGTACGAAACAGTTACACATAATATAAAAATAATTGTACAAGAATTTACGAAATAGTTATAGCATTCTTATCAAGCAGTTACACATAACTGTTTGTCAAACCAATATAAATATTAATTGGGTTGTAGAATAGAAACTATTATTGAACTTTAAGTAGATCAAGACTAGTGTTTGACATTATGTCCTTAAGACAGATTTCGTCCTCACACATGGTGCTTATGGAATATAAAGCGTCTGTCTCCTAAGATATAATGATATTTATACAAGTAGAAGTAGCACTCCAATCTACCTGTCCAACAAACTAGAAATTGTGTTGTGTACTCTTCAAAATGCAGACTGTCTTAATGATGTATAAAATTGCCTTAAATATGATTAAGAATGTATTGGATGCAAAATAATTATGTGACTGAATTATTTATAGAGAGAATGATGACTGTCTGAATCAATCATCATATGAACGAATGTAACCCAATAGTCACATGTAGCCAGAAGATACCACTTGTGTAACTGTTCTTAATGAACATACACAACTCAATTTTGGATCGGAGGGAAGCAAAAAATCAGAACCAGTGCGATCCAATGGATACAAAAAATTAAATTTTAGATTAAGAAATTTACACCCAATTAATTAAACGAATTTTCTCCAAAAAATATAGGGTTTAGTCTAAACCACACCCACACCCACACTTGTACCTGTACCCGAGTCCAGCCGAGTCATGGCGAACAATCGAGTAGGGGTGGCAATTTTTGATACGACACGATAACCCGATACGAATAAATGAGTTTGGGTTGACTAAGTTTTTGACACGACCCGCGTATGACACGACCCACTAACACGAAGTGTTAATGGGTTGTGTTCGGGTTCAACCTGTTTAACACGAATTGACCCGTCAACACGAAGTTTTTAATTCGAAGGAGATTGTCTTGGCCTTTTCGTTGCATGTATGAGTTTTTATGTTTTGATGACTTGTTTTTTCCATTACTTCTGATGTTTAATTTGGTTGTATGATGTACAATTAACATATTTAATTAGTATTATATAAATAAAATATTAATTATTTATAACTGTTTATCAAGTATTGACATAATTATTGTATAAAAAAGATACTATTACTCATTATTGTTGTTATTATTATTATTAAGTTAATTTTTAGTTTGTAGAAAAAGTATGAGGAGAGATTCAATTAAGTGAAAATAAAATCTTAGCGTTAAATTTTTTATTCAAAGTTTATGTAAGT